TTTTTTTTAAATTTATATTTTTAAATTTTTTTTAATTTAAAAAAAACCTTAAATAGTAACTTTTAAAAAATTTCAAACTTAAGTTTTTTTTTATAAAATTTTCTTTTTATTCACTTTTTATTGCTTTTAAAAGTAATTTTTAATTTTTTTAAAATAAAAATTTAAATTTATAACTCATAAATAATATTAAAAAAATAAAAACCCTACCAAACTCCCCCAAATATGCCTCTAAACCTAATTTCCAAAGTACCTTGTTGGTTTACGTTTTCGGTTAGAATGGTGAATACAAAACTTTGTAGGTATACCGATGGTTCGGTTCGTTGGTTACTGACACCGAATGATACCTAACCCTAAGAGTCCCCCTATGAGTGCTAGATTATGCTATAAATTCCCAACTCACCGGCTAGATTTTCCCCTTTTTTTTTATTAAACATCAAATAATCTTATAGATTCCCCTTTTATAAAATATAAAAATATCTAGATTAACTAAATCTCAATATCCTAAATTATTTAGTTAATAGTTGATGATGGTGAATATTCTTTAATCAAATTATAAAAATAAATTAAAACTGAGAAATTTATGTTGAAATTTGGTAATGAAAAATTTTAATGTCTAATTTTCTTTTAACATTAACAAATAATTAAAAAATACATTTTTAAAAAAAAGGAATATATAATCTTAAAAAAAAAATAAAATGAGTGCATATTCCTTGTTCACTTTTTTTTTTTGTATTTATAATTAGGGTATTTTAGACTAATTTTTATATATTTCAAAACTAATTCATCATCAAGTAATTTTAAAAGTGCACTCCCCACGTTAACTTGATAAAATTTATGAAAAATTAATTTCTTTAAGTGATTTCTTTAAAACTTAAAATTTGAATCAAACTTATAAAACTACACTTGTTTACCAATTGATATAAACCTTGGGGTTTTTTCATTCATCCTTTAACTTACCAAAAATTTCTTAAATTTATCTTATTTTTATAATTTGATTAAGAAATAATCATTTAGACAAACCAAACATGAACCCATAAATTAAAGTCTACTACTTATAACGTTTGCCTATCCATATATGCTACTGATCGCTGAAATGGACTGACGATTCCATTTCCCTTGGATCCCTTCAATATCATTCTCCATTCAAGTTGAAATATATTGACAGCTAATTTACCTAATCCAACCCTATCCTATATATTGGCAAAAATTCACTCCAATTAATCATACACTTTGAATATCCAACTCTATATCTTCGAAGTTTGATCACCCAAATTAAATGGCCTCTTCAAATGAAACCAAAAGCCAAATCCATGCCAGTAATATACAGGAAGACCACGAGGAACAAGCTTCCTCATACGCAATGCAGCTTGTCAACTCAGCCACTCTGCCCATGACTCTGCATGCTGCACTTCAACTGGACATTTTCCAGATCATAGCGAAAGCCGGAGCTGATGCCAAGCTCTCCCCACAAGAGATAGCAACCCAGTTGGGCACCCAGAACCCCGATGCGCCCATGATGTTGGACCGCATCCTTTGGCTCCTAGCGACCTACAATGTGCTCACTTACTCTGCTATTGTTAAGGATCATCATGGTGATCCTCAGAGACTATATGGTTTAGCACCTGTATCCAAGTACTTTATCCAGAATGAAGATGGCGTTTCATTAGGACCCTTGATGACTTTGCTTCAGGACAAGATCTTCTTAGATAGTTGGTTTGTGCTTCTTGCTCCATATCAAAATATCAATCAACTCTCTCCTGTTTTATCTA